TCTACCATCTTCCTACATTTGCATTTGACAATCTAATCTTGTCACAGTAATGTTGAAATGATGGTTGAGTTAGAGCATACCATGTATTCACCATTTTTGTGTGAAGGTTTTTGTCTTTGATTGCATGCATGAATTTTTGTGTGATATGTCTAATGCAATAGACATGGGTAGAAGGAGTATTATGTCATCCGTTATCATAGTTATTGTAAGCACTCTCAATAGCAGCATGTCTGTTTAAAATCAAATAGAGATTGGCTTATGGATCCACATATGTTCTAAGATTCCTAAGGAAGAAACTCTAACCAACAACGGTCTCACCTTCAACCAGAGCAAAGGCAATGAGAAAGACATTATTGTTGTCGTCTTGTGCAACTTCCATAAGCAAGGCAGCCTTGTATTTTTCATATAACCATGTTACATCAATTTTTCATAATGCAAAACCTTTGATGCATGGTTGAAACGACTAAAAGAGTCAGCAAAATATTCCACTTCCACTAACATAAGTTCCATCTGGTGTACATGTCGACAATGACTGCATAATTGCAATAGTCTCTGGTGCATATGTCTTAAGTGCCACCAAAAACCATGGAAATTCTTTGTATGAATCCTCCCAGTTGTTGAATACCTGTTCAACTGCCTTTATCCTTGCAATCCACACTTCCTTGTACAGGGGAGTGTAAATATATTGTGTAATAATGTGAGAGATTATTATACTCACCTTTACTTATGGGTCCTTGTTAAAAGGCGGAAAAATGTCTTGACATATCAATTCAGCATTTAATTTTCGGTAATCCTGTACAATATTAGTGGCAGTGCAATTGTGAGGTGGATTTATAGAAGCTATCTTCCAAGAATCACTTCTCTTCCTGTGAGACGTAGCCAACCAAAACTTGTCAAGATTATTACGATAGTGAATGACATACCTTCTAGAATCAATTCGATGTACGGTGAAATCAATAGAGTTATCCATGTGATAGTTTTTAATAGCTCGCACACATTATTCCTTGGTCCATAACTTGTCTCCCAATTTTAATTCACCCGCTGACCGCATTTACGGGTTGTAAAAAATATTGGAGGATATCTCATCGTCATGCAAGTCCAAGTCGGTCATGTGTTGAGGCAGACAATATACGTGACTTGAGGTAATGGCACTTGATGATTGTCATCTTCAGTGGTGTTGTTCAACAGATGATCGACCTACGTCTCACTTTCTTCTTCTTCGTCATAAAAAACGTCGACTTCCGCTTCGACTTCATCTAAGTCCACACCTTCCATTTCATCTGAATCTGCATATTCTCATTGATCGATTATCTGAGATTGTTGAGATGGAAAAGTTTTTTGGAGTAAAGTATACAACTTAATATAGTTGAAACCAGAATGTTTGTGACTAACAAACATATTTTCAATATCTTCATCGTCACGAATTTTAAGTGGATAAAATTTAAAGTGGTTGTTTTTAAAAAACAAATCTTTATATATAATTTGTGATATAGGAACAAAACCTAGTTTTGATTACAATCTATCTTTAAAATACAAGAAACTTGTATTTTTATTTATTGTAAATCGGACAACATCGGTCTCTTGAAAACCAAACTCAGATACATCAGAGGCAAATTTCCCTCCATTGTAGTGGGCGTTAAGAATGTATCTCGATGCAGATGACATTGTTTGTATATTTTTGTATTCGAAATGAAATGATGCAGATGACGTTGCATGGGAACTGGTTAAATATGCATGCAGCATTAAATGCACTTGCCAATTGAATTGGCAATTAATTGCACAAAATCCTACATTGTCGTCAGTCAAACTAACGTTAACTTTTAAGCCTACGTAGCTAGCATATTCCCTATAGGGAATTAAGTCCCTTGTATGCAGTCTACCACCTGAATAGCTATCTGTCATGCATGCAGCCTACGTGCAAGCCTACATGTCGCCAATTGGAATGTCGACTGTGTGTAAGGATCCAACGTGGTCGCCAATTGAAATGGTGTCACCTTTGCTGCATGGAAAATTAAAAAGTTATCATTCTTCCTCTATAACTTCAGATACAGTTGGTTCTTGTTTGGTATCAGAAACAAATACTACTCTTATATATAATCAATTATTTTTCATCAATAGGAACAATGTCTCTATTGACGATGGGTGAAATGCACAGAGGCACCGTCGCCAACATTGAGAATTATGTAAGCTGTTAATTCACTAAGTAGTTTATATTTTGGTATGTGTTTATATTTCTTTTCATTACTAAGTGTTTTTTTTGTAGGATGTCTCTAGGTTTTGTACACATGTCCATGAATAAGTTGCCCTGACGTTTTAATTGAGTCTTATATTGAGCTCGCCGGTTTTGGACATGTAAGTAAAATCATGTCTTACTCGATTGATGCAAAGTTTATACTAACTTTACAAGAGAGATGGCGCCCCGAGACACGCACTTTCATTTTCCCAACCGATGAATGTACCGTGACGTTAGAGGATGTATACATGTTACTCGGTTGCATATTAATGGTAAGGTAGTCAAAGGAAAAACAAACTTCGCAAATTCAATTTGCAAGAAACTTTTGGGTGCCGACTTGTTGGATCATAACCCAAGAGGCCAAGGTATCTTGCTTTCGCGTCTCAAGACATATTACAACAGTTTAATATTAGATAAAAATTCTATTGAAGAAATGAAAATAATAAAAACTAGGTGTTATCTTATGCTTTTATTTGGTTCATTTTTATTTTCCGAAGGTACTGGTTCTAGTAAGCACGTTATGTATTTACCCTTATTATGACACCTAGATAAAACAAGAGAATATAAATGGGGTTCCACTTGCTTGTCTTATTTGTATAGCTCTTAGTGTAAAAACGTAACGAAAAACATATCTACATTTTCTAGATGCGTTGTTTTGCTCCAAGCATAGGGTTGATCTAGATTGCCATCCCTAGCACCCGTCAACCACAAGAGCTTCTCATTCCTGTATGCACAAAAGTAAGTTAATAATTTCATATTAGTTAATTCTCATTATTGATTATTGTCTCTAACTAATTTATTTGAACTTTTTTGTTTAGATGGTCGGCTCGCGGTATGACTTACAATAGATGTCCTAAACATTGTATCATTCAATACCACAATCTCTTTACACCTAGAGATGTAATGTCACTAAACGAATCAATTTATTTTTAATATCACCCATTTTATGATCTAATCATTTTCTCTTCTACAGTTCATTTGGCGACCATATCTAAACATGGAACACCAACATGAAGTCAGAAAAGAAGATGTAGCCATTTGGACTGCGTGTGTGTCGATCATCAGATTCACCACTCTAGAGATGCACCATAGTGACTGTGTCAAACTACACTTCAAAATACATTAAAACATCCCATTATCCCATGACTGACCTCGGTAAATGGAACCATAAAAAATTAATGAATAATAGAACTATTCCGATTGAAAAGATTTTGCTAAATCTGAGTGTGTAAATGGGCGAACCGTCGTGCCCATGTCTTACGTGAACCGGCGATGGCAACCCCATCTATACCAATTATTACTTATGTGGCTTGATACAGATTGGTTGCAATTGAGTTTGTCTACTAAGAGAGGTAATTATACGACCCATGACAAACCACTTACACACAATAAGCTTTAACCTCTAATCCCTAGGAAATTATCATACTTATTACTCACAACCCCTACCCAATAAAATTATTGATCCACAAACACACAAACCAACAATACAAACATGTCAGACACCCAACCACAATACCAAGAGCGTCCCCCATATCATCACCAACAAAATGACTATTATCAATACACCTAAAAAGCATATGCCCCAACACAACATTAAGATATAGCCAACACACCCAAGGAACATATAACACCAACCTTTCCTCGTACCATGGGCAAAACTCCCAAACATCGTACCATAGCCAAAACACTCAAATATCACACTATGGCCAACACACACAAACATCACAACAACCCTATGGCTTTTAGACACCACAACCATTTCAACCTTTCACCAACAATTTGTTCACACTAATGCCCCCTTTAATCGTCCAGGCCGCACACCAATAACCCCTTCAACATATCCAAACTATTCTGGCATGGGTCACGAACTCAGCTTCGACAGTGCGTCGCAAACTCAGTTTCGGAAGTGCGGCGCTCCATACACAAGACTACTTAAAAATGCAAGAACTTCTTCGAGATCCTCCAATTGACGTCTTCTCTTAAATCTAGAGAGTTGTCGCCAATTGATTTACCAACCACACTTATTCTCACTCTCAAAGTGGGACATTTTAGTATGAAAAATAGGTTATTTTGAATTTTTTTTAAAAAATATGGATTATTTAAGTAAAAAATTGGCTTTCCTTTCTGTAATCATTTGCACACCATATTCAACCCCAAAAGAATTTTTGATTCAATAAACTCACCTAAAAATATAATCAGAACAAAAAAGAAAACAACGTTGACATGAAAACTATCAAAAACTTGAATATGTTAATTGGATATGGATAGAAATTAGAACAGTAGTACTCCTTCCGTCTTAAATTATAAGACGTTTTAAACATTTCACACGAATTAAAAAACTTAATTATTATTTTATAATAGACGTTTTAAACATTTCACACGAATTAAGAAACTTAATTATTATTTCATAAAAAAAAATTATATATAATTTTACAGTAATGTTTCTCATAATTGAAGTGAAAAGAGAAATTAAAAGTATTGAATAAATAAATAATAATAAATATTTAAAGGTATAATAAAAAAATATTATTAATAAGAATAATTTATAATTTGAAACAAATTTTTTTATTACAAAATAACTAATTTGAAACATGGAAATAAACAATATTTGTTCATAAGGGTAAAAATCCAAAAACCAAAACAAAAAGGCAAACACACTTTACAACATAATAAAATTCCCAAAAAATTAGGAATTAATGTAGATTCAAAATAGATTATACATGAGAAGCGAGAAAATATAAAAATAAGGTGAGTCTTAATTACTGGATCAACGTTTGATATACTTGACTTTATTCCATCCTTTCTTGAATGAATTTCCAACAGTCTTAATTCCCTTATTAAAAAATCTCTTTACCTCCTTTGCTCTGAACTTCACTCTATGTTCAAATCCGCCCATAGTTAGAGAGAGATGTTTTTTTGGTTAAGAAAGGTATACAATAATACAACAAAACTTAGTACTTAGGAAATAGAGAAAGAAACCTCTTTTAAAAGGAAAGGGCAAGTGGGATCCAACGCATTACATAACACGTGGCATTGATCGATGTGCGCCACGGCTTCAAAACTGATCTGAGTCGTTCTTTTATGTCGACCGCAATTTACGGGATAAGTATAAAGTCGACATCTGGAAGCTGAATGAGTCTAGCTGGGTTTCTCATAGGCCCAGCGTAGCCGACTAAAGTTGGGACCACTGTGGGTGTACTGGGTCCAAGTTAAGTGTTTCCATATGCTATACATACTAGCTTCCTAACCGACATGTTTTCACAAAAAATTTCTACCTCTAAATTCTTTAAAAGTTAAGTTAATAGGAAAGCCATCATATCAAAATTTAGTATTTTTAAATATGCAGGACTATAGAAATGTGAAAAATTTTACTATATAATTAAATAGAAATATTTAAGTTTAAGTAACCGTTTAAAAAGAAGAAAAAAAACTATAAGAATACACAGGAAGAGAAGAGTCAATACTAATAATTTTTATATGAAAAGATTTTATCTTGCCATCCCTTGAGTTGTATCTGACATGTTTAATTTTTTTATAATATTTAAAATACTCTCTTTTTAATATTACGAATATTGTTTATTATCGGTTGATAATAATAAATTTTTTTTTAGCAATTTTGTATTGAATACTAATGAAAATTTGAAGGTTATGTGTAGCATGTATCATCGATACGAAGAAAAAGTTTTATCATGGTGGATGTAACAGTTGCAAGATTTATCGACGATATTATTAATATGTTAAAAAGTCTTGAATCATCTTGTACTGTTTAAGTATTGTTCATGTTATTTTCTTGTTAAGTTATGCTTTTCATGCATTAATAAAATACTAATTTTCATAAGATGAAATGTTAATAATACACAAATAATTTGTTACAAAACTATAATATTACATAAATAATAAATTCTACAAAAGTCCACCAGTGTTATTTGCGATGCCAAAGCATAAACCTCGTCGTTTGGGTTTATCAAACTCATAAGGTTATCTGAAAGAAGTGTTATCATCAATTGGTCAGTCATACTAGGTTGAGGCGGAGGAAGAGGTGGAACATTATTTGAAGATCCTCCAACATGGGAAGATCCAACATAATCTGCAGGCTTAACAGGAAGGATGTTGCGAGAGTTTAATAATGTAAAGTACCACTCTAAATAACCATTCAAACGATGTCCAATGAATTCCACTTCCACTACATTCTCTCTAATAACAATGTTAATGTTGATAATATTAGACACAAACCATCTATCAACACCTTTATATGTCACATCAGGTATTGGTCGATGAATGCCTTGAACATACAGAAATTGACGCATGCACCTCTCAAATAAATATCTAACCACTGATCTCTCCCATCGTAGATAAACCAAGAACAAGACAGGGAAGAAGGTGAGATATCTAACGTTTTTGGATGTGAAAAAATGAAAAGGAAGGTCTCTATTTATCTGTCAAAGGATGGTTCAAAAAAGGAAATGATCAATAGACAAAGTTAATTACCTAATCAATTAGATATTGAATCTAATCGACTAGGTGTCATAAATAATCGATTATTTATGTCCATTTTGAAAGGTTTTGATATATAGTCGCTACCATTAATTAAGACATTCTCATAATTAATTATATACTTGTTTTTCTCTAATTAAATTAGTTAGGTACTTTATCTAATTGATTAGGCAATTCAAAAGCTTGCCCTAATCAATCTTACAGTTTCTAATTTATCTAGCCGAGCTTTAAAACATTTTTGGATGATTTATTTTGAAAAACAAATGCCTCAAAAAGATTATTAATGAGTGTGTAATTTATCCACGCTACTTTAGAAAAACACCATTGTTTTTATAAAAACACTAATCACTCAGACACGATCGAACGACCTTTCACACTTTATCTTTTTCACACTTTGAAGCTTCAAGTATTTTGCTGGATACACCAATCACATAAGAACTTAACTTGAATCTTCTTGGAGATGAGGCGTGAGATATATTCAATTCAGATGCCATCACCAGAGGATATCACCGATGATCATTAAACCTTATATCGCAGATAGCTTGATCATATGTCTTGTGCACCTTTGACATCTTGAGACAACTTTAGCACTTGCTTGTATTTATGTGTTTTTGTCATCAAAGACATGTTACATCTTCATGTGTTGTCATCATCAAAACCACGATGTTGACAGGTCTAGGCATATCTTGCTTAACTTTGACCACTTTTCTGAATAAACCTGCAAGTACATATATCCAAAAATAGTACCCTATTGGGAAATGCACTTACAGAAATCCAAATACCCTTGTCAACTCCCTTCGTACCATAAAACAAAAAGAAATGTACATATTAGGTGTGATCCTAAGGGCTTGTATAAGATTTGGAATTTGATCAGGAAAGCCTAACTGTTTTGATGGAGTTGTAAGGGGGTTGACAATGATTTCCTTCAGAACTTCGGTCTTAAAGTTGGGGAAAGGAATATGTTTTAGGCTAAGCAGAAACACCCCGAAAGAAAAAAGCAGACCATTATGATCTGGCTTGTAGTTCAATAAAGTTCCACTCTTACCAGACCCACTCTAACACATCAAAGGCTGTAATCCATTGTCGTATCCGCTTGAATTTCTCACTTTTGGTTCTAGAATGGAACAATGGCGCCGTATTTAGGAATTAATTTTTAACTCCTATGAGTTTCACAAGTTCACATTAATTATTCGAATTTTGCAGTTTGTTACTCTTTCTGATCATCGATGTAAGTAACCGTAATCGAATGTAAAAATCTATCACGTTTCGATTCGGCTCCATGCAACTTCAATCTCATTTCTTAAAGATTTTGGAACTCCAATTTTCATCTTCAACAGATATAGTTTGATCCAAGGATACCAAATTTGCCACTGCAAGGAAAGTTGTCGTTATTGCCTTAGCAGCAAATAATCAACCACCTCTTACTCCGTCACAAAACTCAAGAGATCCTAGAGTGATAGTTTCTTCATAACCAGATCCAATCCGAGCTTCACAAGTGGTCAGATTAGTTCTAGCCGATCATGTGGAAAGTCGTGTTCCACATCCAACTACGTAACATGAAACCTTATCTGGATTTCACATGTTACAAATAAACATTGGTGTATAAAAAGCCAATTTCTTATCAAATGAAATGTTTAACATTGTGCGACAATAAAACTTGAACGTTTCTGAAGAGAGGCTTCAACGCCTTGAGGCGAGCCTCCACAATGTTCCGTCCCGCGAAAATATAATTTAAAAAGCTACTTTAAGAAAGACTTGTGTTGCGATCCCTAAACTAGTTGGGACAAAGAGAAACGAGGCTCATTGGTCAAAGGATTGATTCAGGAGAAGACTGTGGAATTTATTCTCTATCATCGGTTCAAGTGGAAATTCTCCATGATAGGGTGCAACCAAAGCACCCGTTGTCAGTAAAAATCATGGAAAGCATGATCCCTAGATCTATGGAGAAACCTACCAATCTAGCTGATTATGAAGGAAATGGATATCCTGATGAACATTTGTAACTAGTAGATGAACAATTGAGTTACTTTAGTGCGACGATACTTCCAAGTGCAATTTATTCATGTAAACATTGATCGAACCAACTCGTTTATGGTTCAACGGCTTACCAAATGAATGTATTGATTATTGGACATAGTTTCGTAAGAGTTTTTCAGCTCAATTTACCGCCCAAAAGTGAAGCTCTATCACAGAAGCTTCCCTAACATGGATCGTCAAAAGGAGGAGGGAATGTTTGAAATCATATATCGATCAATTTACTCGAGTTTCAATTGAAGTAGATAGGGCTCAAGAAGGCTTATAGTGTTGGATTTTTTAGAACGACCTTCTGAGTGATCACTTGTTCATACAAAACCTGGGGAAGAGGAAGATCAAATCTATTCAAGAAATGTTGACCATTACCGAACCATTTATCCTTTAGAAGAAAAACTGACCACATATTTCGATAACCTCGCGTCTAGTAAGTCTCATTCCGATCGCCCATCTGGAAAAGAATCTCACTGGTGCATAGATGACTCTGACAAAAACATGTAATGGAATTATGACACATACACCTCTATGAGGACCTCTCGTGAGAGAATCTATCAAGAGTGTGTAAACACTGAATTTCGAAAAGCGTAAATCTAACATCCATATCCCGTCATAAAAATATTATTGATTCTATAAACGTCACAACCACAATAGTGGCTGAAATTATAGTATCAGATATCAGATGTCGAAGGCGATGTTATGACACTAATATATGTACAATCATCAATAAGAACAAGGAAAAATAGATAACAAAAGTAAAAAAGACACAAGCAATTGTTAACCCAGTTCAGTGAAAACACACCTACGTCTGGGGGCTACCAAGCCAAGAAGAAAATCCACTAAGTAGAATTAGTTTGAAGATATACAGTAGACTCTCTCTAGTTTACCATCTTCTCACCTAATCTCTACCCTTGCAATTTCTACCTAGGACACTCCTAGATAAGAGACACCTCTCACTCCCCCTCAATCACAACAGTGATGACAACAAAAAATAATAAGACTTTAGAAGACATTCTTCAAAGACACAATCTTGATCTTGCTTAAAAGCTTCAATTAAGTACAATGCACTCTTGCTTACAAGCTTTGAGTGAACAACTTACAATACAAAACTTAGTCCAATTCATACATTAAAGTAATGAGTGAATGGCACACAAAACACACGAAAGCTAGAACATTAATCCTTACGCAATTGCACAATATAAGACCTAGCTTCTCTGAACTGAAAACTAGGGTTGCGAATGCTTTAAATAGAAACACTTGGAAGGGCTTGGGATGTGGTAAAAATAACATCTGATCTTGAAGAAATCAATCTAAATAATCAACATCAATGAAACAGATTTGATTTGATCCAGTCAGCTCCAATCAAATCACTCT